TGTTCAGAAATTAATGAGCACTGCTTCAAAGAACATGTATGGTGTAAAGTTCAGTTAAATAATGGAAGTAACTTGTTACTGGGAGCTATTTATCGAAGCCCAAATTCTGATGATGATAACACTGAGTTGCTCTTTGATCTTTTAAATAACTGCTGTTTAACTTCAAACAGTATTTGTATTGTTGGAGATTTTAATTTTCCAACCATCTGCTGGGATAGTTGGACTACATCAAGAAGTGAGAATCATATATCCTTTCAGTTTATTGAATGTGTTCGGGATAATTATTTACAGCAATTATTATCAAAACCTACCCGTTATAGGGATGGGCAGACTCCTAGGTTACTGGACTTGTTGTTTATAGATAATGAGCATAATGCTGAGAATATTATATATGGTAATCCCATTGGACTTAGTGATCATGTTTCTATAATGTTTGAATTGAAGTATTCTTATTTCATGAATAAGAATAATGCTGTTCATTATAATTTTTATCGGGGTAGATATAATGAAGCTAGAGTTATACTTGTAAGTGTTGACTGGAGTATTTTGGAGACCCTGGATATTAATAATGGATGGAATATGTTTGATGAGAAGATGAAAAATTGCATTCAACTTGTGATCCCAATTGCCAAGTCTATTGGTAGGAAAAAACCTTTATGGATGGATAATAAGGCACTGAGGGCTGTTAAAAAGAAATACAAATCTTGGAAAAGATACACTTATACTAGAAGTTACAATGACTATGCCACGTACTGTGGCGACAGAAATAAGGCTTCAAGGGCAACAAGGTTTGCAAAAACTAGATATGAGCAAGGACTAGTGGATTGTATTGGGAAAAATCCCAAAGCATTTTGTGGGTGAAAAAATAAATATTAGTGGTGAGTGGCATACCGCAAGGTAGTGTTCTGGGACCAGTTCTTTTTGTACTTTTTATTAATGATCTGCCAGATGCGGTTAAGTCAGTGTGTAAACTCTTTGCGGATGACACTAAGTTGTACAAGTGTATTTTTAGTCATCTGGACCAAATAGAACTTCAGAATGATATTTTCAGTCTTTGTGAGTGGTCAAGAAAATGGTTATTAGAATTTCATGTTAAAAAGTGTAAGGTGATGCAGTTTGCCAAGAAGGACTTTGATGATTATAGTTATAGTATGCGTAGCAAAGAAGGTGTTGTGTTCCCTATTGATATGGTTAATGAAGAAA